TTCTGAGGAGCAGCTGATGAATTTGAATCACTGACCTTGCGGTTCAAACTGACCTTTTGGTCCAGCACATTATCTCACAGTGTCATACCAAGACTCCTATAGTTACTATGTTGTTGTTGTTAAATATCATTGAGTTGGTTCTGAATCATAGCAACCCTGGATAGGGTTTCTGAGAAGCAGGTGGTGAGCTTGAACTGCTGAACCCTGTGGTTCAAACTGACCTTAAAGAGAAAAACTGCCTCATAGGGCTTAAAATCTTTGCAGAAGCAGCTTGCCACATCTTTCTCCTGTGGAGCAACTGGTGGGTTTGAGCCACTGATCTGTGGTTAGCAGTCACATACTTAACCACTGTGCCACCAGGACATCATATATTATTAAGATAGGTGATATCAAGTTGATTCTGACTCATAGTGACCCCACTTATTTTTATTTTTTAGAGTCTCAGCTTTCTGAACTGCCCAATATAGAATTTTCTAGGTTGCAATCTTTACGAGAGCAGCTAGCCAGGTCTTTCTTCCGTGGAGCTGCTGGGTAAGTCCTAACCACCAACATTTTAGTTAGCAGCTGAACGCTGAAGTATTGTGCCACTAGGATTCCTTCATTGCTATATACATCACTGCAATTAAAGTTTACACAGCATTGCTGGCAAAGTAGTATGAAAATAATCCATTGGCTGTGTGTGAAGAGGAACACAACTTTGATCTAGGTGACAGGTGATATGAGACTGTACTAGAAATACCTGCAAAATACTTTCCAGAGGGAGAGTTTTGAAAGTAAACACACTCAAACCCCAACTATGTGGTTTCCTTGAGAAGCAACTATATTCAGAGGATGCTTATGAACATTGGAGTCTCTTCTACTAGGTCTTGGCTTAAATGACGTGATGCTGAGAAATGAATCAGGCATGTAGTATCTGCTGTCTACACAAATCTCTCTGGAGTCTTCGAATTGATTTTTCGAATTTTCACTTCCCAGGACAGTGTTTGTTCAGCTTTCATAGTCCAAGGATTTTTCACTGTGAGTGGGAAATGCCAAGAAAGTCCAGAATCTACAAAATAAAATAAAAAGAACAGTTCTCTAGTTGGTTTATCTTTTGAAACTTTGATCCAAAGTTAGACTGGAAAGTCTAAACACCCTTGCATCTACCTCAGTAAACTCCCTTTGTAAAAAAAAGTCCTAGAAAAGTGTGTGTGTGTGTGTGTGTGTGTGTATGAGAGAGGGAGTCAGTGAGCACTGGGAATCTTGAAACACTAGAGTTTTATCTATTATCCTCAACTGTCTGAGCCCAAGCCTTTTAAGCCATCTTGGGGGTGGGGAGTAATTATTTGCAAGGGAACATTACTGGTGAAGTACAAATGAGCCATCATTTGTTTTCCCTGTGAGTTGTAATGATTACCGGGATGGTGTTTAGCAACAGGATCTAGGAGGTCAGTTATGGCAACTTCATCACTGTCATTAACGCCTTTTGTTTGCCGTGAACACAAAAAACTGTTCCATATTAAGAGTGTCAAGGGAGAGGGGTGGAGTTGGCTGGTGGAGAAAGTGAGGAAGAAGAGAGCCCGAACCAAAGTTCACACACTATTAATATCAAGAAAAAACTCCTGCAGTAATGGAGTCAGCTGACTTCAAGGCTGGAAGGGCCTTATTTAGGGGACCAAAGTTTGGACGCCTTGTTCTTTCTGCTAGAAGAGTAATTGCCTGTGTCTAAAAATGCTCAACATTTTTTTGGGGCCAATTCTGGTTTCTAGAAATGCCCTAGGGAGATGTTATTTTTGGTAAGGGGTCTTCCTGCTTCAATGGTAATGACTGTGAATACATACTTCCAGTATCTTCTTTAGCTTGCTAGGGTAAAAGACAGAGCAGTAAGAAGCAGGGCTGTGAGCTTCCTTGAGGAGTATCCGGGGGCTAGGCACCCTGCTAGTGATTTTATTATTTTCTCCAGCCTTTCAACAACCCTGGCCTCACTTTATAGATAAGGACCATAGAGCATGCTGTTGTTGTTGATAGCGACCCTGTACAGGGTTTCCGAGGCTGTAAATCTTTATGGGAGCAGAATGCCTCATCTTTCTCCCGCGGAGCAGCTGGTAGTTTCGAACTGCTGACCTTAAGGTTCACAGC